GGGGAGCCGGTCTGTGCCCAGCCTTAGTGGCTCGCTGTCAACTCAAATATGAGACGGTTCTGGAGCTACACGGCCTTCAACAAGTTCATGGAAAATGCATCTTATTAAAAGAGAGGGTTGAATTCCCAAACTGTTGCACTAAAACAATGCAGGTCTAAGGCCCGTTGGTGGCACTGTGGTTAAGGCACTGGATCCCACATAGCCAACTCTTTGGTTCAAGTCTTGGACTCGGCGGCTTGAAAAACACGCAGGGCGTATGTGTGTGCATGTCCGAAACCTCCAGAGGAAGATGGTGGAGGAGGGGTTGTAGCGTGGCATCTCCCCAGTGGAAGGGAACCTCACTTTCTTCCCCCCTTCATCTCTCTCTGGTGCCTGCATATGCCCTATAGCAAAAATCTAAAAATATGAAAGTACTTGAATTCCATTTTCTAGAGCTTTCCCAGGTCCCCTCGTGCAGGCCAGCCAGGGGCGCAGTGGCCAGGAGGAGGTGAGCAGCTATCTCTGGCTGGTACCTGCCTCTCCCCCAGGTGCAGAGCAGGCTGTCCCATCCAGGGGAACCTCATCTGCCTTTGTCCCTGCTCAGTGTCCCCGCAGAGATGCTCCCGGGGGGCACAGAGGAACACTGCTCTATCCTGGTCGCCAGGCGTAACTAGTGGCAACTGTGCAGCCTCCTGGTCAACCGTGTTGATTAATACCCAGCTGACTTGTGAAGTTTTCCTAGAAGCAGAAGTGGTTTTTTCTTTCTGAGTATTCATTTATTTTAAGAATTTTCCTCCAACTTTATGATACCTCTTATTAGAAAATGGCCTTAAACTTAATACCTTTTTAAACCCACCTATTCTGATAGAGCGTGTGTGCCTGGGCTTGTGGGCAAGCTCTCTTGGCGGGGTCTTGCCATGCCCGACCCTCTTTCCCCGGCCCTCCCACTCCTCGGGGTCCCAGGCTGCACACTTGCAGTGTTTCCACACTGACCTGGGGGTCACACCCATGGTCGGCCATCCAGTTTACTATCGACCGCGCCTCCTCCTTAACAAAGTGAAAGAGAAGCATGCCAGGCTGACACGCCTCTGTGACCGGAGTCCTGGCTTTAGTGGGTGGCAGTCCCAGCTGCGGCACAAGTGCCCCGGCGAGCAGTGACACTGTCCCTGAGTGTAGACACTGCCAGCTCATTTCCCCTTAACCCTCCCGCTCAGCATCCTGGCCTGTCACATCACCCCAGTAGCAGAACCCAGGGAGAAGGCTGCTGGTGTCCCACTGATTAGGCCACCCACCCAGGCTCTGAGGAGATGGCCATAGGCCTTTCCCAGGTTGTCAGCCCTGCAGACAGCGTATGGGCCTCGTTGTTGCCGGGCTGTGCGTGCAGGCCGCAACCCTCGAGCGACAAGCGGGCCTCATTCCCTGTCTGACCACACGGACGGCGTCTCATTTGCCCTCTTGGTGCACCCCCAGCACTGGGATGGTGTTTCCACGAGGCCCTGACTCGCTGTGTGTCTGAGCCAGCTCAGGAGCCGGAGGGCACCTGTGGAGGAGAGGCCTGGGCTTGTGCGTTGTTACCAGGCCCCGGTGCTGAGGGCTGGGTTCTTGCTCTACCCCATGCCTCAGTTGCCAGCTGACCCTACAGTGCCACCCTCGCAGACGCCACTGTCCTGCCCTCTCCCAGTGTTGCCCACACCCACACCCCGGCACTATGCTTCTACCAGGGCTGCAGGGCTTACCTGGTGACTGGACATGCCGGTGTCCCCAACTCAGCCTGGTACGGCCAGGTAAGAAGTGACAGCACAGCGTGGGCGTGGCGAGGCCCAGCCGGCCCTGGGGCCTGTGTTCCCATGCTGGTGCAGGTCCTCAGCCAGCGGAGCTCCTGAGGCTGGTCTCTACAGATCTGTGGTCAGGGACCCCTCACCTCCTCCCATGGTCAGGGACCCCTCACCTCCTCCCGTGGTCAGGGACCCCTCACCTCCTCCCGTGGTCAGGGACCCCTCACCTCCTCCCGTGGTCAGGGACCCCTCACCTCCTCCCGTGGTCAGGGACCCCTTTGCCTCCTCCTGTGGTCAGGGGCCCTCTCTCTCCTCCTGTGGTCAGGGACCCCGTCACGTCCTCCTGTAGTCAGGGACCCCTCACCTCCTCCTCTGGTCAGGGACCCCCTCGTGCCCTCCTCTCTCGAGGACTGAGTGAGAACACACACGCACAGCACGTGTGTAAATAGTTGGCGTGTCTCCTCTCTCCTGCTTCGATGCTATTCCTCCATCCTCAGCCCCAGGATGTTCCCATGACCAGAAGTCCATGGCGTTTTGAACCGAGTAAGATGTGGAAATGTCGTAGAGCTTCCCTGTGGCGCCCTGTCCTGTGGCCAGGAGTCCTGCCATACCTCATAGGGCCCGGTGTGGCTGGTGGCCCTTCCCTCTGTGGCACACAGGGCTGTGTGTTGGACCGCCTGCGGTCACCTGTCCTCACGCATGGGGTGGCGCCCAGGCCCTCTGCCTCGGGGCAGCACAGCGTCCAGGGGGTCAGGAGGTCTCAGGCCCAGGTCACCCACGGTCAGTGCTGTCCTCACCTCAGCACGTCCGCCTGTGCTCTGTGGGAAGCAGAGCGGAAGGACTCCCGTGAGACCCCTCAATCAGCCCAGGGCCGGGGGCTGCACGCCCACGTGAGTGCGTGTTCCCCGACCCACAGGAGGGGTTTGTTCTGTACCCCCAGGGGTCAGCCCAAGGTGCATTCCCAGGGTCTGGCCCTGCCATGAGCCATGTCCCCAGGTCTGCCCAGCTGTGGGTTGTGTCCTCAGACATCTCTTGTTTCCAGTGAGTAGCCGTGTCATGGGGCCTCTGAGCAACAGCTGCATCTGAATCCCGGGTGTCCTTGCTCTGAGAACAAGGGCGTCCCCACGGCATGAGCCCTGGGACAGTCGGGCTCAGGCACCACCACCTGCTCTCGGCCCTCCTGCCTCCTTCCCGGCGATGACATAGGCTTGCCCAGCCCTGGCCAGTGGTACTGGCGTCTGTAGATGGACACGGCACCGAATCCCGGGCCCGTCCAGACTTCAGGAAGGGAGAAGCCAGCTCCTCTCGTGAGCGCGTGGTGGCGGGAGAGACAGGAGCAGGTGCAGAGAACCGCACCCTACATCTGTGTGTGAGGCTTCAGGAGGCTCGTGGGATTACAGCACGAGTTGATTCTGGTGCCAAAATGTTAAAATCCACACTTAATTTTTTTTAAGCATTCCCTGAGCTTTGCGAAGAGCCCTGGTCAGAGGACAGAGTGTGGGTGTCTGAGAGCGGGATCCTCTGGGTGCTCAGCGGGGGCCTCAGGGCAAGGAGACCTGGCTGCAAGGGAGCCCCCCAGCTAGGCACACACGTGCACCGAGGGAGGAGTATGCCGGGGGACCATCAGAGCTCGAGCCACTGGAGGTCAGAGCCGCCC